GGCTTTGTTAGGTTGTAGGGGCAGGTCTTCTCTACATTTTGACACCATCCCGAGGTCCGTATCACTAAAATTGAAAACAAAATCTTTGAGACACAGACACCTACTTTTGACCCTTGATGTTACAATAACTTGCGAAAAACTCAATATTATGAGCTCAAATTTATATTGAGAACTATCAATGGTCAGACACATATTCAATAAAAATTTCAGTAAGATTGAGTGTTCTGGGGAAAAAACAATTAGAGGGGTGGGGGGCCCTTAAGAGAAAAGTGACGGATGATGATAGTAAAGTACATCTGAAGTCCGCTAAGTAAAAAGAAAATTCTGCTGAGAAATAGAAAAGTCCTCTTACAAAAAATAATGATCATCCATTGAAAAGAGAAAAGTCCTTCTGTTAATAGAAAAGTGACGGATGATGATAGTAAAGTACATCTAAAGTCCTCTAAGTAAAAGGAAAACTCCGCTGAGAAATAGAAAAGTCCTCTTACAAAAAATAATGATCATCCATTGAAGAGAGAAAAGTCCTTCTGTTAATAGAAAAGTGACGGATGATGATAGTAAAGTACATCTAAAGTCCTCTAAGTAAAAGGAAAAAACCGCTGAGAAATAGAAAAGTCCTCTTACAAAAAAATAATGATCATCCATTGAAAAGAGAAAAGTCCTTCTGTTAATAGAAAAGTGACGGATGATGATAGTAAAGTACATCTAAAGTCCGCTAAGTAAAAAGAAAATTCTGCTGAGAAATAGAAAAGTCCTCTTACAAAAAATAATGATGATCCATGGAAAAGAGAAAAGTGACACATGATGATAGTAAAGTCCGCTAAGTAAAAAGAAAGTTCCGGTGAGAAGTAGAAAGGTTAGATATACTACCAGTGTGGCATAAATTTGGTATTTTTTGATTAATTAGTAAAGTCCTTCTATTCACTAGCGGACTTTAGGTAAAGTGGACAATTTCGGGATCTTTGACAGCCCTCATCTATTCCTCAAGAAAGACTTCCACACTAACAGTTCATAGCATCTTTTGTCAGCTGGAGAAAAAGATATTATGCTGAGAATTACAGATTTAAGGCAACCTGTTGATCGGCGACGGCAGAGCTATCAGCGATCTAGAAGAATATATACTATTTCGAAAATGTCGAACGTTTCGAAATCAGGGTGGGTGTGGGTGTGGGTGTGGGTGTGGGTGGGTGTGGGTGTGGG